CCCCCCCCCCCCCCCCCAAATATCCCAAGGCTGATTCTCTCCCTCTCCCTCTAATTTGGTCACTGGGAAGAAGCCCTTAGTGTTTGTACTCTTTCTCATAACCACTGCTTCAGGATGCCAAAAAGAACAGAGAAAATCAGGAATCTTCTTTTTTCCTTCCAAATATCACTCTAAAAAGAATGAACTTTCTTTATCCCTGGCTTTTCAATTGGAAAGCAGGCTTATTAGAAGAAGGGTGCCTTCTAACTCCTTCCCAACAACGCTGCTTGCCCATCGCCGTTTTAATGAGGGAAGCTGGTGGTTTTTGCTATTTCACCTCCTCCAACAATCCTGAGGTCCCAACAGTCCACAGCAATCCAATGCTGGCTTTTGGCTGCTGAGAGGCCAGTAGACCAGCTGCCTGGTAAAAACATCCCTGGTACAGTTAAGCCCATGGATTCTTCATTTACATACAAGAAGGAGAAGAATTTTGCTGGAGGCAGGATCAAGAAGTGATCACAATTATCTTGTATTGCAGTGGTGCCCACATAAATATTTCACTTCTTGTGATATGATCCAGAACATTCTGTAGAAAACTAGTGCAACAGAGCTATGGATCAAGAAGGATGAATCTTAGAAACTGATTCACATTCCATTCATGCTGATTTCAACAGGTTCAGAGAACTACTTGACACTTGACGTGTGTTTGTGTGTGTGTGTGTGTGTGTGTGTTCCTTTGAGTCAATGTTGACTCCTAGCAACTGCCTGGACTAGTCCCTTCAGTTTTCTTGGCATGATTTTCAGAAGTCGTTTGTCATCTCCTTCTTCTTAGGGCTGAGAGAGAGGGACTGGCCCAAAGTCACCCAGTTGGCTTCATGTCTAAGGCAGGACTAGAACTCATGGTCTCCCAGTTTCTAGCCTGATGCCTTTACCACTACACCAAACTGGCTTTCTGTCACTTTACTTGATAACATTAAAAACTCCATCACAGTATTGTTAAATCTCAGTAACACAAGTTAAATCAAATCTATGGTATCTGCCAGCATCTTGGCTCAGAATCTACTTTGCTTTTATTCCAATTGAAATGAAGCCGAGAATGTATAACTGCATTTGTTCACTCTGTTCATGCTGCTTCCCCATACTATTTCTAAAATAAAATTGCACGCTCTTTAAGGAATTTTTTGTTTACATCCAAAACTGCAGGGGCAAGTGCATAAAGCTGTTTATTTTAATTTGTAAACAAGATTTAAATATTAAGGGTATCCTATATCCACTATCTTAGAAGGAAATTCCATTAACTTACCCTTTACAGCCTATGCTGTAGGATGTTGTTTGATATTTGCTATAATAACAAACTCATACATTATGTACATTTGATTTCTCAGTGCAATTTTTTTCTCTAACAGGAATAACTAAAGCATTAGAATTTACAGTAGTTCTATTTTTAAATACAGTTCATAAAATTTGAGAACTCTATACATGTAAACACACAAAATCACTGAATACTTTAATAGAGAAAGAAATACTAATACCTACCTTTGGTCAAAGAAATTATTTTTTGGAGATTGCTCTCCCTAAAATAAGACCAAAAGAAATAAGTTATTTTCAGCACACTGCATTCTGTAATGAGCTCTTCCTTATTTTACCTTCTTGACTTAGTTGTTGTATTTGTATCCTATCCTTAGTTTTTAGTAACCTGCCAGTGGCTGTGCTGCAGGGAGTGGGATGTAAATTCACATTTATTTATTTTAAAGGCACGCCTGGGAGAATAGCCAGGTCTTTACAGGTATTCCTTGGTTAATGACGGTAATTGGGACTGGAATTGCCATCGCTAAGTGACACAGTCATAAAGTGTGATGTCACATGACTGTGCCACTTAGCAAAGGCAATTGCAGCAGTTTTGCTGCAAATCATTAAGCAAGGATGTCACATGGTCACTATTTGTGACCTCTGGCTGCCTTCCCCATTGACTTTGCTTGTCAGAAGCCTGCAAAGAAGGTCAAAAATGACAGCCATGTGACCGTGGGATGCTACAATGGCTGGAACTCCAAGACCGGTCATGTCCCCCTCATTCAGCCCCATCACAAGTTTGAACAGTCGCTGAACAAATTATCATTAACTGAGGACCACCTGTAATCGTTTCTGGAGTGTCATCAGGTGGGAGCCCTCTTGAAGCTTCCCTCTGCTGACTTCTTGGACAGAGACATGGATAGGGAGTTTCCTTGGCAAAATACTGAAGCAGTTTTCTGTTGCCTTTTTCAGGTTGTTTTTTCAACTTCTCCTTGTATCCTACCTGGGATTTCTTGAAGGTCTCCCATCAAATGCTAATATGATCTGAAATCAGGAGTCTACTACCACCTTTTCAGACTAACACATTTTACTAAATGGCAGAAGCTTTTGTGAGCTACAGCTCACCTTAGCTTCCAGGTCCAGAAGAGGTGAAGCAGGTGCTGACTTGTTTGCAGCTAGAAATTAGTTATTTTTGTCTTCTGCAAGAAACTCTACAGATGAATCTGTTAAAGCATTTATGGCATCCAAGGTTAAACTTGGGGCAATTACATTCAGAACAATTTGTATATTCTTTGTAAGATATCATTCAGAATGATTGGGAATCTGTATAGAAGGCCAAACAGAAATTGCTGCATTTTCTCATAATATAATTGCTAATAACCAAATCTTAATGCCCAAACCAGCTTCATATTTATATCATATTACAGTCCCCAAATTCAGGAGAGCCTTATCTCTAGTCTGATTTAATGTCCTCCCCCATACCTGTTTTGGAAGGGAGGTATAGGAAAACCCGATATTGCCCCTGCAGCACGAGTGCCCTAGAAACCACAGGCCATGTTCTGTATTGTCAGTTCTACAGGGATATTCGCCACCAGTTGATTAGCCCCCTTTTATAAGAATTTCCAGGGTACTCCAATTTATTTGCATTACATGTTAAACAACTAAGATAAATGTATTTCCCTAAAAGTAGCAAAATTCTGCTACATTATGTGTAAA